GAGAGAGAGAGAGAGAGAGAGAGAGAGAGAGAGAAAGGGAGTGAGACAGAGAGACAGACAGACAGACAGACAGACAGAGGGAGACACAGAGAGATAGAGACAGAGACAGAGGGTGGGGTAAAAAGATAGTTGATCGATAGATAGAAAGACACACAAAAGCTTCAACCAGCACTGTTCTAATTGAAGTAAAACGCAAATAGCGCCAAAAATAATAAATCGTAATTATAATTATAATTATCAATAAATAGAATTGTTGCCGTATAATCGTATACTTCTTTAGTCTATACAATACATATGTGGACTTCTTGTGTCGGGTAAACAACTGTCGAGCGACCCTCGCATGTTAGCTGTAGCTTACAGTTCACAGCATGACCGTGTTTCTACAAGTTTGAGAAATAAACCATGAATTTCAACACTCAATTGAATTTGATATTTTTTGAATTTGATATTGCTTTTTATCTCTCAGTCGTTTCGAACTCATATCAGATTTATCTCACAAACTTACCTAAACGGCCTCCTACTTTCAGTAGAGATGGCCTATAACTATAATGAAATTGATGCCAAAGCTTTTGATACACATTCCTTGGGCGAGGCGGACCATGCCGTAAGTAAGAGTATGTTATAACTACAACAGTTTGAAGATTGGAAGCCAAGCTCATTATTCTAAATTTTCGAGCCACCTTGTCTGACTGTTTGACACGGCACTTGGTGAATGAAAAATGGAACTGGAACACAAAAGTTAAGGTCATGGCAGTGAGTGAGAGAAGGTCTGTCATCACTGGGACTGATTGATGCAATTGACACAACAATAATAGACTTTGGGAAGGGTTGAAACTATGGGGTAAACAGGGGGTGCTATTCTCTATTCTACCTCAAGTTATTGCATGCATCCACGAGTACGAGTGGAATCAAGAAGAGGAAAGTCAATAGGCGTCAAAATAAAAGAACCCCCCCCCCACACACATTTATTAACAAATTCAGTAATTCAGATGTGTACAAATGGCACATGTTTTTAACTGCAGAATATGAGATCGCAAAAAACTTACAATTGATTCTAAACATCACATATCATCTACTGCTGTGATGGACAATGGATGTGAAGAGTCAGACAAGGTGGCTCGAAAATTTTATATTATTGTTGTAAGTAAAACAAACCAAAAACAACAAAAACTGACAAATGTGCAGCCAAAAAACTACACCACTAAATCAACAACCCCCCCCCCTAAATTTAGTGGTAAAAACCTAAGAATGAACCAGGAAGAAAAATAACTGTAGGGGATTATTTTTTTCAGCTTAGAGTTATCCTCCCTTGGGCTAGATTCGTTTTCGCGTAGAGTGTCGAGGGAGTCAATCTGGCGGCCACCATAGAGACTCCAGAGTGCTTTTTTTTGGCTGCCGCCTGACTGACTCTACAGTGTTCCTGGCGGCCGCCATTTTGACTCTAAAGTCTTTCTGGGGTAGAGTTATTTTGGCGTGGTACACCGGTTCGGCTCAAAATTATGGATTTTGAGTTGTAGGCATTTTTAGCTTTGTCAGCCTCTCCTTCAACTATGTCATAGCATGAGAACCCCGAAAGTCTTTTTTCTTCCCATAACGGGCATTTTATTTTTCTTTATCGCCCGTTTTCTCAAAACGCGATTTTCCTATATACTTTTTTGAATAACTCCATCATTTTTCATCCGATCTTCATGAAATTTTCACTGAATGAAAAGAAAATTGAATACTAAAACTTTGTTGTTGAATTTTTGATATATTGAATAGATTTTTGTTGGTGCGATCTGGAATCTGGATTTTTTCTAAACGAATTAGAAAATTTATTAATGAATTTTTTCCTGAGGAAAATCCGTGAAAATCCACACTCCAGATCCAAATTTCAAAGATTTCAAAGACATTTCAAAGAAATATGCCATGTGTAGATTTCAAAGTCTTGAGTTTTAACAGAGAATGCCGGTATAAGAGAAACCTGTCTGAAACGTGAATTTGATTTGACTATGTTGAAAAAGATTCGTTACGTTTCATTTGAACTCTCTATTTTGATATTTGACTTGGAAAAGGTGTATGACATTTGGAAAAAAAAGCAAGCTGAGAAAGGAAAAGAAAACTTACCGATGTACTTTACTGATACATTTTCATAATTGACATAGCTCATGCGCTCGAACAAATACATATTCACAGATTTTCCATCATTTTAATAAGATGATAGGATAGCCTTTAAAAATGGACCTGGACCATACACGCTCACATGAATATTATTTTCTCAATTATTTTGACAGGTTAATGCTCAGTAATATGAATTCCAATCAGGATTTGTTTCCACTCACACTTCAATAATGCCTAAAAAGTACATGTAATATGTAGCTTTGTTCATAATTATTTTCCTGTTGTGGGAAAACATGAAGGTCTATTGTGTGGCCTCATCTCTCTCTCTCTGTCTCTCTCTGTCTGTCTGTCTGTCTGTCTGTCTGTCTGTCTCTCTCTCTCTCTCTCTCTTAAAAATAAGATGTGGCTGTTTTTACGCCCCAATAAACACACTTTTAGATCATTTAGGAGGCGGGCTTCCGACCCTGCCTATTGGAACCAATAATTCAGACTTAGCGGGATACAACTCCTCAGCAGAAGAACCGAAATAACCGATAAATGTTTTCTCTCCTTAGGAAAATCAAACTCGGGTCTCCTGCTTCCCACTGAGAAGTGCCTAGCCGCTACACCATACACCGGTGGCCTCGTCTCAATCTAGTTCGTTGTCTCACATAATTTTGATTAACCTGTCAAGCAAGTCACCTTCGCCCCTGCCTTCTGTCTGTCTGTCTGTCTGTGTGTCTGTCTGTGTGTCTGTCTGTCTGTCTGTCTGTGTGTCTGTCTGTCTGTCTGTCTGTCTGTCTGTCTGTCTGTCTGTTCAACGTCAGTCACATCAGATTGGTATCTCACAGTGCTGAGAAGGTTTATGAGAAGAGGCCTGGTTTTAATGGGATGGGGCCACACCCTACTCGTCAAGAGCGTTCCTTGTATGGATGCGAGAAAGGTTTGGGGAACACCTTATATAAGCCGAAAGTTT